AAGATCGTCGTAAAGCAGATTCGTCATAATGCGGGGCAATCGTAAAGCGAGGCACCACTGTACTTCTTTATTTGTAAATACTGCCCTTGGGGAAAGTTGCAGTGAATCTTGGAAAGAATTCTGGAAGCCTTTTGGAGACTGGCACCCAGCTTTAGGCACAAATACACCTTTTATATCATTAGGAGTGTGTCAGACTCAGTGAGGCACAACATATCTTCTGGGCTCTATTTTTGAAGCTGCAAAACAAACAACTATATTCTGTAAAAAAAAATATAGGAATAATAGTTATATTACGTAACAACTACATTCTGTAAATTATCATCAATCCTGAACAAAGGAGAGTCCATAAACTCTAAGGCAGTCTATATTCACTGCTGGAATATTTTTTCCTTGTCATTTGAACCTACTAGTTTTTCTCCTACCCTGTCAAGCAGGAAGAAACAAGTTTGCTCCATCTTTCATGTCATAGCCCTTTCGATATCTGAACACAGCTATCATATGACCTCTCAACCTTCTCTTCTCCGGGCTAAACATGCCTAGCTCCCTCACCTGTTCTTCATCCAGCTTGGTTGCCAAGCTGTCCAACCATTTTTCCTGCTCTCCTCTATATATATTCAAACTTCTCAATATATTTCTTAACTTTAGTTGTAGGAAATAGTGCAATCCTATTTCCTTCACTTTAACATTAAACAATTTGGTTTCAGCCATAATATTAATTATATTATGGCTTTTTTTCTTCAGCACATTTCTAACATCTCTGCAAATGACAAACAAAATTATTTCTTGCTAGTATTGAGGGAAACTGTATTAACGAGAACCAGTATAGTGTTTGACTTTAACTAACGGAAAGATTAAATTCAATTATGTTCCATTCCTTTGTGTTCACTGTGTAACATTAGGCTTGTGGGGAATCCGCTCAAAGAACTTTTGTTACTGGATGGAGAATATAATAAGTGGGGTGAAAATATTTATTCCAAATATCCTGCACAGTGTGCATCCTCAGATTAGTGACAGATGTTCCAGACAATATGTGCTTTTATTTCTCAGCAGCACACAAAACTATGTCTAATCAAACAAAAGAACTTCAAGTCCAATTTTGTCTCCTTCACATAGATTAGTGAAGTGACATTTGTTTAACACGAAGTTCATGCTTTTTTAAATAAATAGCAAGCAGGTAAGAAAATGAAATATAAAAATGAAGACATAATGGCTGAAATCCTGTTGTTTTTGCATAGTATGTTGTACTACAGTAGGCTCATTTAATGAATAAGGTGAGTCAATACAGCATTCCTCATATTCCTTGTCTCATGTTATGTAATTTTAAAAAAACTCTGACTAGAGTTGGGGTCATAAATGTTAACAGAGATGGGGGTATTCATATATGAACATCCCCACACAGATGGAAATAACAAGGGTCTGGCCTCAAGGGGCCGGACTGTCCACTCATGATTTCGCTGCTGCTGCTGACTCTGCCGAAGCTTCCTATCGTTCTGTTCTCCACAATGGATTAGCCACTCTCCGACCTAGCAGAGGCTTGTCATCCCACCTCCTGCCAGGACTGGGTAATCGATTGTGGACAACGGCGCGATAGGAAGGTCGGACAGGGTAATCGATTGTGGACAACGGCGCGATAAGGTCCCACGAGCTCGCATCAGTGGCAAAATCGTGAGTGAACAGTCCGGCCCCATGGACCCTCATTATTTCCAACCGTGCAGGAATATTCATATTCGTATACCCCCATCTCTATCAGCAATCAATACTCTTAGATTCCCTTCAGTCACTTCTACCATAGCTATTCTTCCATCTTCCGAGGTGTAGATAAGTTCTGAATGAAGTCTCTCCTTCACATAGATTGTCACCTCTTTCTTCTTTTTCCCCTTATCTGATGCCAAAAATAGAATTTCCATTTTTTATTTTCAATTAAATTTACATCTTCCTGTTTCAAGTGTGTTTCTTGAAGGCAAATTACATCCATCCCTAATTTCTGCAAATGGAAAATACCTTCTTTATTTTTTGAGGGGAATTCAGACCATTGACATTTATTGAACATAATTTCCACTTGCCCTTAGAGATCTTTACGTTTTTTACTAGCTTTATATCTCACTCGCTCCTTCCATGTAGTGATAGGACTTTTCGTTTTTAATGCTGGTGCTGCTGCCCATTCCAATTCTCTCTCTGATTTAACTCTTTTTCCTCTAATTGCATTAATGGTATAGATACATCCCCTTGCAGTTAACTGCCAGACTTTTTAAAAACTATCCAGATGAAGATAAACTGTTAAATTGTTGTTTAGATAGCTTCTTTACATTGAGGAATACTCCCCCCTCCCAATTTACATTAGTTTACTAAATTTTACTGAAGTACTTTTCCGCTATTAGGACTGACTATACATGTGATTGTGGAAGGAATACTGTACTGTTATATGATTTTATTTGTCTTTTAAAATGTAATGGATCTGGGGCTGAAATGTCTCCTGAAGAATAAAGGGCAGGTCAGCTCTGATCTACATGCCTTTTATGGGCACACACAGTGGGTTAGGGGGTTAAGTACTCCCATTATGTGCCATCAAATCAGAACTGACTTATGATGACTCTAATAAGACTTTTACAGTAACTTCAATATTTAAGGAGTTGGCTTTACCTCTCTCCACCCCACCCCCCAGTTTCCACCAAGGAATGGAAATTCAAATCCACGTTTCCCAAGACCTAGTCTGTCACTATCCACTTCACCTGCCATTCTCAACCTTTTTCTGGCCATGGCCGTAAATACAAACTGAAATATATGTTGAATCACTAATAAGACTTTTACAGTAACTTCAATATTTAAGGAGTTGGCTTTACCTCTCTCCACCCCACCCCCCAGTTTCCACCAAGGAATGGAAATTCAAATCCACGTTTCCCAAGACCTAGTCTGTCACTATCCACTTCACCTGCCATTCTCAACCTTTTTCTGGCCATGGCCGTAAATACAAACTGAAATATATGTTGAATCAGCATAACAACTATCCACTTCACCTGCCATTCTCAACCTTCTTCTGGCCATGGTCATAAATACAAAATGTAATATATGTTGAATCAGCATAACAAACTGTATAAGGTGGTGTGTGAAGAACTGTTTCCAGTCTGTGTTCCCCTTCAAAGGTGCCACCCCTCTGGGGGAGCAAATGGGCCCCCATTGAAAATGGCTTCACTCACGACATCTCAGTTCCTCAAGAGATAAAGATGATCTCACCTAATAAAATCATCTAAGAGCTCTAAACCCCCTTCAAAAATCTAGAAGAGGATCAAAGAATGACACATATGCAGGAGAGGTGGAAAGCATCAGATGCATTTTGCTGATGCACAGGACAGCAGTTTTTATGCATTTGCCAAGGTTAATACTACGCCATATTCATGCCATGTCTGGAGGCACTCCTCTGCCTGTAATTAATTTTCTTGAGCAGACCCATATGGCCCCTTGGGGTGGCCTGGCACATTTCAAGGGGGTCACAGGCTAGAAACGATTCTTCAGGCACCAAGTTTGTTATCCAACTTAAACAATCCTGATTATGCTATTAATACAATCCTGTATATTTTCTTCATATTGTGTTTATGGCCTAGGCAAAACAAAACTAACTAACAAAAGTTGAGCATGGCTGTTCTAGATGGTCGAAATATCGCTGGCATGAAATAAACCAGGCAGGTCTGATTTCCTCTGCAAGTCGTTCGCCCTCAGCCCTGAACGAATATCGGGCTTCTGTGAGGCATTTCCTACCCGAAGAGCAACCACCACACGGAAAACGAGAGAGGTCACTCAGTCTACCTGCCAGCAACAGCCACAGAAAGCAAAAGACCGACAGGCCCCGGCAGTCGATTCCCTTTCCCGTGTAGAAAACACGTAACGTGTGAATCGGCCAGAAGGCTTCGCTTAAACATCCCATGGGGGAAAAAAGCAACCTAATCCTTTGGTATTCTCAAATTCGTCACTCCTTCGAGGCGAAGCCGGGGATATTTCTCCTTTCTGTCCCCCGCCCTGCCTTAAATCCGTAGAGCCCAGGCGGGAAGAGACTATTTCCCGAGGATGGAGGGTTACAGAGGCCACCCGGCGAGGTTTAATCCTCTCTCGCCGTCCTTGAAAGGAGATTTACAGGCGGGGGAGGGCAACCCAGAGAGAGAGGGAGAGAGAGAGAGAAGTCCTGTCTGTCCGTCCGTCCTCCACCCCGGGGGGCGGCAAAACGCCCGACTCCTTCCCTCACCCAATTTACCTCACGGCTGCAACGGGGAAAGATGAACTTCTTGGAGGGACTTCTTGTCCAATCAGGAGCCGCGCTAACGTGCCTCCGGCAAGGCAAGGGGCGCGAGCGTGCCGGCGCGCGCGCGAGAAGTGAGGAGGGGGGGGTGGAGGAAGGGAAGATCTCGGCCTTCCCCTCCCTCTCTCTCTCTCTCTCTCTCTCCCCCCTCCACCTCCGCTTCCATCTTGTGGGTGGAGCTGCCGGGGAGGAGGAGGAGGAGGCAACACGTTCGGCTGTGAGCGAGCGGCGGGGCTCGGCTTTGGAAAGTGGACGGCGCGCGCGCAAGAGGGGAGGGGGGAGCGAGTGAGCGCGTGCGCGTCAGTCGGAGAACGCGAGCGCGGGAGAGCGAGCGAGCCATGGCCGGGAGCTCCGTGACTGACTGACTGACAATAGGAAACAGCGAGCGCTGCAGAGTCAGGAGAGGAAGGCCGCCGCCAAGCCTAAGCTCAGCCGCCTCAGTCGCCGCTTCCTCCTCCTCCTCACCGCACCCCGCCGGCAACCCGGGCCGCGCTTGCTTGTTTCCTCGCTCGCTGGCTCGGCGCCCCTCCTTCGCCAAGGCCGACTTGCCGGGAATGTGAGAGAAGGCAGCCGCGCCAGGAGGCGGAGGAGGAGGAGGAGGCCTCTCTCAACCTCCCTCAACCGGGCGGCACCCGTGTCTTTGGGGCGAGAGGGTAGTGGTGGCGGCAGGAGGGCGGGAGAGGGGC